TCTCTACTAAAAATAAAAATAAAAAAATTAGCTGGGCATGGTGGCACGTGCTTGTAATCCCAGCTACTCAGGAGGCTGAGGCAGGAGAATTGCTTGAACCCAGGAGGCAGAGGTTGCGGTGAGCCGAGATCGCGCCATTGCACTCCAGCCTGGGTAACAAGAGCGAAACTCAAAAAAAAAAAAAAAAAGAAAAAAGAAAATAAGAATTAGAGATCCATATATCACAATCCAGAATTAATCAGTATCTTCACATATTTACTTGCAGTCTTTTTTTTTTTCCAGCTAATCTAATTCTTATTTTCTATACTTTTCTGTATTTTTAAAATTTCTCAGAATTAGTAAGAATGAGGGTGAGGATGGGAACACTGTACCTGTGGAAATCATGCTGTAATAATTCATTCCTGGCCGGGTACAGTGGCTCACGCCTGTAATCCCAGCACTTCGGGAGGCCAAGGTGAGTGAATTGCCTGAGCTCAGGAGTTTGAGACCAGCTTGGGCAACATCCTGAAACCCCGTCTCTACTAAAAATACAAAAAAATGAGCTGGGTGTGGCCGCATACGCCTGTAATCCCAGGTACTCAGAAGGCTGAGGCAGGAGAATCATTTGAGCCTGGGAGCAGCGGTTGCAGTGAGCCAAGATCGGGCCATTGCACTCCAGCCTGGGCGACAGACTGAGACTCTGACGCCATTAAAAAAAAAAAAAAAAAAAAAAAAAAAAAATTATTCCCAATCAAAAACTACATTTGTATAGAAAATATTTCTAAAATTTTACCAACAATGAGTAGCTGGACTTGCTCCGTATATAACATGAAATTATCCATTTTTTTACATTCAAAATGAAGGCTGGGCATGGTAGCTCATGGCTATAGTCTTTCTTCTTTAGGAGGCTGAGGTAAGAGGACAATTTGAGTCCAGGAGTTTCAGACCAGCCTGGGCAACATGATGAGACTCCATGTCTACAAATAATTTAAAAATCAGCCACAGTGCCAGGCGCGGTGACTCATGCCTGTAATCCCAGCACTTTGGGAGGCCAAGGTGGGTGGATCACCTAAAGTCAGGAGTTCAAGACCAGCCTGACAAACATGATGAAGCCCCATCTTTACGAAAAATACAAAATTAGCTGGGTGTGGTAGCACATGCCTGTAATCCCAGCTACTCAGGAGGCTGAGGCACAAGAATCGCTTGAACCTAGGAGGTAAAGGTTGCAGTGAGCCACGATCACACCATTGGACTCCAGCCTGGGAAACAAGAGCAAAACTCCATCTCAAAAAAAAAAAAAAAAAAAAAAATTAGCTGCTATGAGACATGATTGCACCACTGCACTCTAGCTTGGGCAACAGAGTAAGACCCTGTTTCAAAAATAGATGGCAAGATTAAATTGAAAAATAAGCAAGAAAAACAAAATAAGTAGGTAAAAACCACAGCCAAAAAGAGAGAGAGAGAGAGAAAGAGAGAGAGAGAAAGGAAAAAAAAAAAAAAAAAAGAGACAGAGAGAGAAAGAAAAGAAGAAGAAAAAAGTACCATGATCATTTCTAGGGTAACCTGATGGAATTATCAAGATAATTATGCAAGACAAAATAAATAAATAAGTAATAAGTAAAACCACGGCAAAAAAAAAAAAGTGCCTTGATCATTTCCAGGGTAAACTGATGGAATTATCAGGATTTCACAGTAGAATTAATTTGATTAAATTTACAGCTGTGGAAGAGGTGGAGTCTGCATGAGCTGATTGAATTTGAGGCCTCTAGTGTGTTTAAGGACTCAGGTCATAAGAGCAAAACTGAGTTCAAACCTAGTATCTGTATTTGATTCTGTGACCTCCTGCAAATATTTAATATTTCTAAGACTCAGTTTTCGCTTTACATGGTAACAATGATAAAATCCACTTCCTAATACTGGTGAGGGTAAAACTCGCTAATTAATGTCCATTGTTTCCCTGCGCAGTGATTGCATTCATGTCCGGAGGCCGCTAGTAGGTCACTCAATCACTCAGTCTATACAGGCGATAGGTCGCTGTTGCCCTGGGCTCCGCCCCTAGGGGTGTGGTTGACCAAAGACGCATATATAAAATCCCAGGCCCCAGAAGGAAGCCAGCAGTTGCAGAGTGAGCTCCTCTCTGTCTGCAAGTAGCGAAATACCCGGCCTGCAATTCAGGTCCATTTCTGGTGAGTCTGTGCCTCCAAACGCAAGGGCAAAGGTCAGTGTCATGAGATGATAGGTCTGAAACTCAAAGCTTTAAGAGTCCAGAATGCTAGCAAGGGAGCCCACTAATAGGGGAGGGCAGACAGGCGTCTAAAATGGTTCATTTACTGAGGACCATTTTCACCTCCACGAGCCTGCCCTGCTCAGGGCTTTCCTTTCGCCAGACAGCCGAGGGGTCTGCTGAGGAGGCTGTGGCTGTGATTCCTGGTTGGGGTGGGGGGTCTCTCGAGGGCACCCGAAGATCTTTCTATCACATTGGCAGGAGCCCAGGACGAGATCGTGGTCTGGTCAAAGACTCATGGAAGTATACGACGCTACGCCCATGAGTCAGCGGGTACTGAGTGGGTTGAGCTGAATTATTAGAGATCCAGAGAAGGAGGCATAGCCCGTCGGCAGGACTATCAGGGTTTTTTTGTTTTGTTTTGTTTTTTGAGGCAGAGTCTTGCTCTGTTGCCCGGGTTGGAGTGCAGTGGCACGATCTTGGCACACTGCAACCTCCACCTCCCAGATTCAAGCAATTCTCGTGCCTCAGCCTCCCCAGTAGCTGAGACTACAGATGAGCACCACTTCGCCCAACTGGTTTTGTTGTTGTATTTTTGATAGAGACAGAGTTTCACCATTTTGACTAGGCTGGTCTCAAACTCCTAATCTCAAGTGATCTGCCTGCCAGCCTCCAAAAGTGCTGACATTACAGGCTTGAGCCACCATGCCCAGGCAGGGGACTATCGTTTTCATAATTCCTTAAACTGAGGGGGAAATCTGTTTTTTTGAGGGCCAGAAGCTTTAGGGACCAGAAGCAGAGCTAGAGCAGATGGAGTGGGAATCAGTCCTTTACTGGGTTCCTGTTTTCTGAGGTTCCCAGTGGGATCCATCAGGCCTTGCTCAGGATGAAATAAAGTTCTGCTCAGAGGAGCTTCTAGTCCAGTGCTGGAGAGAAAGGGTAGACAGGAGTTAAGCTGTCACAAGGGCAGGAATGGTGGGAAGCAAAGTGTAAGAGTAAGATGCTATTAGAGGCTGATTTTTAAAGTTTATGTTTTTGTTTTTTAGAGAGGAGGGGGTCTTGCTATCTTGCCCAGCTTCCGCTGTGGCTTAATCATCTCCCTTCTTCTAAGGGTGCCTCCTTCTAGTTCTTGGGAAATTCCACTTATTTCCAGTCATAAATATATATATTTATATATGTATATGTTATATATATATTTATTTATATATATATGACAAAATATATATTCTATATATAATATACATATTATATCATATATCAAAGCCAATTTTGGGTTTTCTAAATTTTTCTCTCTATAGTGTACACATATATATTTAAAGCCATCTATCATTTCTATGATTTGATATGGAAGGGAAGGACTTCATGGTCTCCTCAATCCACCACATTCAGTAGCCGTCCAGTCACACGTTTTGAATCTGTGTAAATTCTGAGAGTCAGGACAAGGCAGGAGGGACCAGGCTTTGATGGCAGAGACAGGAAAGGAGAACTTTTAGATAAGATACCTTGGCTGGGTAGGGCAGACTGAGCAATGGACTGGATAGGGACATGGCAAAACTTGAGTGGACTGATCCAGCTAGAGCAGGACAAAAGCAGGGAAGAGGCGCCCGGGATGAAAAAGATGTGAGGCTACCAAGATGGTGGCTTTGAGGAGCTCGTTATAAACTTGACACTTTTCTTGCAGATCATGTGGGGCAGAGAAAATAATAAATAAATAAACAAACAAACTTGGTATCAGACATAGGAAGCCTAGAAGCATGGATGGCCACTCTAAGCAGAAATATAAACCTTGTCCATATGCATGGCTAGGCCTCTGTCTCCAAGAAACTGTTTCGTGGAATGTGTCTTAGTCTGTTCCGTCCAGGTGCTGGTAGATTCAGGATCTGGTGAGGGCATGCTTTCTGGTTCATAGATGGCACCTCTTAGCTGTGTCCTCACCTGGTAGAAGTAAAGAACTCTGCCCCTCAGCCCCTTAGAACATTCATCTCATTCTTGAAGGCTCCGTCACCTAATCATCTTCCAAAGGTCCCACCTTCTAATCCAATCACACTGGAAATTAGGTTTTAATATGTGAAATTTGGAGAGACACAAACATTCAGTCCGTAGTAGAATGGTTCCTGGAAGCTGGTGGTTTCCAGGGTGGTTCTCAGGAGGCCAGAATTACTGGATGCCCCCAGGGAGCTCTCTGGGAAATGTCCCCATTTATCCAGGGGTCTGTGAGGACCCAGAGCCAGATAGGTCCAGTACAAGTTAAGAGTCTTCTGCCTAGGCCAAGTCAATTCACCTCCCTGGACTTCTATTTTCTTTAAAATGGGATTAATCATTACTCTTATTTTCTAGGATTACGGTGGAAACGAAATGAGAGAATTTATTTGAAAATTTAATCAGTTAGCTGAATCTCCAGTAAGGTATCTGGAGAGAAGACTTTGGAAAAGTCTCTGGGGTAAGATCTCTTCAGAGGATGATGGGACACTCACAACATTCATCTAAACTCTCACCTCCATTGGTAGATAGGAGTACCTTAGTAAACGTTTACACCTGAGAAATGTTTGCGCTTTTAAAATGTTACTGTGTGTGGAGGGTACACTGGAGGAAGCTAACTCTAGAGTCAGTTGAGAGGCAATTACAGGCTTCTGGGCAACAGATGACGGGGGGCTGGATTAGGATAGGGTCAATAGGGATGGAGAAGGAGGGTATGTGAGGATTGGAATTTGAGCTGGGATGAACCCCTGACCTATTAACGTTTTTGCAGGATCCCATAACTAAAGATCTAGTTCAGTCATCAGCCAACAGCAAAGAGATGGATTCCAGTCTCCTCCAGGAAATTGAGAAAATTAGTAATTTTTTCCAGCGTCTCTCTGAGCAACATATAAAACAGGCAGAAACTCCAGATGCACCAGAACCACAGTGCTGTATGCCTCTGCCCGCCCACGCTGAGGAGAGCCGACACGAGTCAACGCAGAGCAAAACCATGCCTCCCGTGGAGCTCACAATGACTTCTGCATGCACTAACCTCCCTGGGACAGTTCCCACCCAGGACTTAACAGTGCACCTTCTTAAAGCCCTTGAGATGTCCCCTGAAGACCTAAGTGAGACTCCTTCCATGGGCCAGAAAGTGACTTCCTTTGATCAGATAAAACACACAGCCGGTTCTCAGATGACATATGTTACTGACACCCCAAAGACATCACCCACTGATTGCCTGAAGACAACCATCACTACAAGCAACATGACAATCTCCAGTGAAGGTAGCCTAAGCAGTGACCAGACCCTCAGTGAGAGTCAAACACAAGCCCTGTGTGGAGATCAAATGAAGACCCTCAGTGATGACCAGACTCTCTATAGGGACCAGATGACCTCCAGTAGTGACCAGACCCTCACTGATGGCCATACAGGGACTTCCAGTGGCGATGAGGCCCTCTCTGAGGGCCAGATGATAACCAGCCTAGGCCTCTATGGAGGGCAAATGATCACTTCCATTGATAACCAGACCCTCTGTGGGGAGCAGACAACAACCTCCACTCATAACCAGGCCCTCTACCAGGGGCAGGTGACAACCTCCACTGATAACCAAGTCCTCTGTGGGGAGCAGACGATGACCTCCACTGATAACCAGACCCTCTGTGGGGAGCAGACCATGACCTCTACTGATAACCAGGTCCTCTACGAGGGGCAGGTGACGACCTCCACTGGTAACCAGGCCCTCTGTCGGGGACAGATGACAACCTCCACTAATAACCAGACCCTCTACGAGGGGCAGGTGACGACCTCCACTGGTAACCAGGCCCTCTGTGGGGGACAGATGACAACCTCCACTAATAACCAGACCCTCTACGGGGGACAGGTGACGACCTCCACTGGTAACCAGGACCTCTATGGGGGACAGATGATGACCTCCACTGATAACCAGGCCCTCTACGGTGGACAGGTGACAATCTCCACTGATAACCAGGCCCTCTATGGGGGACAGGTGACGACCTCCACTAGTAACCAGACCCTCTACGGGGGACAGGTGACGACCTCCACTGATAACCAGGCCCTCTATGGGGGACAGGTGATGACCTCCACTGATAACCAGGCTCTCTACGGTGGACAGGTGACGATCTCCACTGATAACCAGGCCCTCTGTGGGGGACAGATGATGACCTCCACTGATAACCAGGCCCTCTATGGGGGACAGATGACGACCTCCACTGATAACCAGGCCCTCTACGGTGGACAGGTGACAATCTCCACTGATAACCAGGCCCTCTATGGGGGACAGGTGACGACCTCCACTAGTAACCAGACCCTCTACGGGGGACAGGTGATGACCTCCACTGGTAACCAGGCCCTCTATGGGGGACAGATGACGACCTCCACTGATAACCAGGCCCTCTACGGTGGGACAGGTGACGATCCTCCACTAGATAACCAGGCCCTCTGTGGGGGACAGATGATGACCTCCACTGATAACCAGGCCCTCTACGGTGGACAGGTGACGATCTCCACTGATAACCAGGCCCTCTATGGGGGACAGGTGACGACCTCCACTAGTAACCAGACCCTCTACGGGGGACAGGTGATGACCTCCACCGGTAACCAGGCCCTCTATGGGGGACAGATGACGACCTCCACCGATAACCAGGCCCTCTACAGTGGACAGGTGACGATCTCCACTGATAACCAGGCCCTCTGTGGGGGACAGATGACAACCTCCACTGATAACCAGGACCTTCTACGGGGGACAGGTTACAACCTCCACTAGTAACCAGGCCCTCTACGGGGGAAAGGTGACGACCTCCACTGATAACCAGACCCTCTACGGGGGACAGATGACAACCTCGACTAGTAACCAGACCCTCTACGGGGGACAGGTGACGACCTCCACTCATAACCAGGCCCTCTGTGGGGGACAGATGACGACCTCCACTGATAACCAGGCCCTCTGCGGGGGACAGGTGACAACCTCCACTGATAACCAGGCCCTCTGTGGGGGACAGATGATGACCTCCACTGATAACCAGGCCCTCTGCGGGGGACAGGTGACGACCTCCACTGATAACCAGGCCCTCTGCGGGGGACAGGTGACGACCTCCACTTTTAACCAGGCCCTCTGCGGGGGACAGGTGACGACCTCCACTGGTAACCAGGCCCTCTGCGGGGGACAGGTGACGATCTCCACTGGTAACCAGGCCCTCTGCGGGGGACAGGTGACGATCTCCACTGGTAACCAGGCCCTCTGTGGGGGACAGATGACAACCTCCACTGATAAGCAGACCCTCTACGTGGGACAGGTTACAACCTCCACTAGTAACCAGGCCCTCTACGGGGGAAAGGTGACGACCTCCACTGATAACCAGACCCTCTACGGGGGACAGATGACAACCTCGACTAGTAACCAGACCCTCTACGGGGGACAGGTGACGACCTCCACTCATAACCAGGCCCTCTGTGGGGGACAGATGACGACCTCCACTGATAACCAGGCCCTCTGCGGGGGACAGGTGACGACCTCCACTGATAACCAGGCCCTCTGTGAGGGACAGATGACGACCTCCACTGATAACCAGGCCCCCTGCGGGGGACAGGTGACGACCTCCACTGGTAACCAGGCCCTCTGCGGGGGACAGGTGACGACCTCCACTGGTAACCAGGCCCTCTGCGGAGGACAGGTGACGACCTCCACTGGTAACCAGGCCCTCTGCGGGGGACAGGTGACGACCTCCACTGGTAACCAGGCCCTCTGCGGGGGACAGGTGACAACCTCCACTAGTAACCAGGCCCTCTACGGGGGACAGGTGTTGATCTACACTGGTAACCAGGCCCTCTGTGGAAGCAACATGGCAATATATAGTGACAACTCGACCCTCTCTGGGGGCCATATGCTGACCCTTCAGGCAGGCAATATGACAACCCTCACTGGTGACCACAGCCTTTATGGGGGATATATGACATCCTGTCAGCCCTCATTGTCATACCCAGGATTCCTATGCTTTTCAAGTTCCCATTTGATTCAAGGACAAGTCTCAGAAAAGCAGAAGACCCAGAGCAGCCAGTTCTGGAAGAATCCTAAGATTTCGAAGCCCTTCATCTGCCCACATGAGGACTGTAAGAAGTCTTATTCAAAGGCTTGCCACCTCCGAACCCACATGCGTAAGCACACTGGTGAGTGAGGGCCCAGGAACAGGGGTGAGGGGCGAGTGGCTAGAGATTTGTGCCTTTACAAAGCTCTGGGAGCATTTGAGATTGCTGCCACTTCCCCAGGGACCCAAGAAGATTCTATAATAAAAGGTTGGCACCTTTAGAAGGGTGGATAAAGCGGTCCTAGGGACAGTCCTGGACCAGAGCCAGGCTGGCTGCAGCCTTTAGGGGTGTTGACTGCTGGTTTGATGGGAATCAGTGGAGGGATTTCTTTGGCCCCTTGCAGACAGATGTTCTTGACACTATTCCTACTGGGACCGTCACTTCATAGACCTCCTCTCAGGGCCCCTGGGCCCCATTTCCCTCATCCTCCTTATTCCCTTCACTAACTTGCCTGTCAATAACTGTCTCTCCTCCTGTTTTTTTTTTCTTCTTCCTTTTCTTTCCTCTTCTTCCCGCCTTCAGTTTTCCTCTTATCTCTCCAGCTTTTGCAGCCCTCATTCCCCTCCTCCTTCACTCACCTCCCCAGCTCCCATCTCCTCTGGCTCTCCCTCCCACTTCAACTTGCTCAAAAACTTTTTCTTGTTCACTTTCAATGTCCCTGCCCTTCCTCACCCTGATACATGACAGGTCTCTCTTTCTCTCTCTCTCTCTCTCTCTGGTCCAGGCGAGAAGCCCTTCGTATGTGACGTGGAGGGATGTACGTGGAAATTCATTCGCTCAGATGAGCTCAGCAGACACAAGAAAAGGCACACTGGGGAACGGCCCTACCTGTGTCCAGTTTGCAACAAGAATTTTGCACGATCTGATCACCTGAAGCAACATGCAAAGGTCCACAACATTTGCCCAGAATTATGAACCCTTCAGCCCATGAGGAAATGTGTACGGCTAAAAGATTCTCCCTACTGACCTTGTTTCCCTTGAACAAGCTCCCCTGTTTCCCTATGCCAGTAGCTAGTAGGTGCTCGATATTATTTGTAAGTTTTCTAAAATAGACAAAGAAAATAGGTATCCATATTCACGTAAACACCAGACAACTTTCAACTTGGAACCAGAAGCGCTCTTGGTTCATTCCCCTCTCAGGGTAACTGCTCTTATCAGCACGCTGTGACTCCTTCGGATCCTACTCTGCATTTACCTCTGTGTGTATTGTAAAACTGTATCTATACAGATCATTAATATTGATATTAATTACTCAGACGGTAAAGAATGGAACGTTCTTTTTTTTTTTTTTTTGTCTGTAGCTGAGCCCATGTTTCTTTGGAGCTTCATTCCCATGAGGTAAAAAGGAGGGGACTCAGTCACATCCAGGGTAAAGTGGTCTCAGGTTAAATGGACTTTACTTAGTTGAGTACTTAGCCTATTCAGAAGTTCAACCTCAGGTGTGGTGGCTCACACCTGTAATGCCAGCATTTTGAGAGGCTGAGGCAGGTGGGTCATGAGGTCAGAAGTTGAAGACCAGTCTGGCCAAGATGGTAAAACCCAGTCTCTACTAAAATACAAAAATTCTCCAGGCGTGGCTGGGCGCGGTGGCTCAAGCCTGTAATCCCAGCACTTTGGGAGGCCGAGGTGGGTGGATCACAAGGTCAAGAGATCGAGACCATCCTGGTCAACCTGGTGAAACCCTGTCTCTACTAAAAATACAAAAAAATTAGCTGGGCATGGTGGCGCGTGCCTGTAATCCCAGCTACTCAGGAGGCTGAGGCAGGAGAATTGCCTGAACCCAGGTAGGCGGAGGTTGCGGTGAGCCGAGATCGCGCCATTGCACTCCAGCCTGGGTAACAAGAGCGAAACTCCGTCTCAAAAAAAAAAAAAAAAAAAAATTATCCAGAGGTGGTGGTGTGCACCTGTAATCCCAGCTGCCCGGGAGGCTGAGTTGGGAGGATCACTTGAGCTCAGTAGTTGCAGTTGCAGTGAGCTATATTAGCACCAGTGCACTCCAGCCTGGGTGACAGAGCAAAACCCTGTCTCAAAAGATAAAGATAATTGTATAATATTATGTGTGAAATATATTGAATAAGATATTTAAGTTATAAGTAGAAAAAATGAGTAACTTTAAGAGCTTGTCAACCAGTGTCATGCAATCAGGTGTTGAGATGGCCAATTAGGACAATGAGCCAGATGAAAAGGAATGATCAGACTTATTTACTGATGGCTACAGAGCAGATGGAACAGACAGCCTTAGCCACGACCCCAAATAAAGAGGTCTCTGAATGGAAGCACCTGAGCTAGAAACGCAGCTGTGCATCTGAGCACAGCTGGCCTGTGGTGGTGGGTGCGGGACAGTTCTCCAGTATCCTTGGATTGACCCAGTGCCACCCTTTCTCACCTGGAGTCCTCAAGAATAACTGTAGACTGTGCTGGGACTGCAATACCCTGAGATAAGGAGAAATTAGCTGGAAAAGCCTGGGCTCTGTTCCCTTCCCCCTAGAAGCAGAACGTCCTTCAATGACTCACTTAAACCCAGGGCATAAAACTCTGGGCGGGCTGCTTGCTGGGGTCCTTCGGCTGTGTTACAAGTGGAAGCACAGGCAGTGAAGACGCCATCCACCCTGGGCAGCTTTCCTGAGCCTTGGGGGACTAACTCCCTATGAATCCTTGATTGCTGTTCCTTGCTTCCTGTTAGTAATAAACCTATTTTATTTAACTTGCTGTGTGTATGTGTGTCATTGGATCTCAGTGGACTCAGACAAGCTGATAACCAGTGCACAGTGAACCTGCCTTACGGTGGGGATGCTGAGTCCTTGACATCCTTTCAGAAAACTGCTGTGTACCAAGTCTGGTGAGCTCCCTTACCCATCTTTCTATCTATCTTCTAGAATTAATGACTACCCTGAATTTTGTATATATAAATTCCTTTGATGCATTTATTAAAAATGCAGGTATTCAAAGATAATTTATAGGTTGCTTATTTTGAACTTCATAAAGATTATGCTAAGATACAGTCTTCTGGAACTTGTTTTCACCACAACGTTATATCTCTAAGATTTCATCCATGTTATTACTAAGACCAATGAAAATAATCCATCACAACCCCAAACAAAACTTCTCTACATTGTCAACACACCAGGGTGGGGGCGGGGAGTGAGAAACCAAAGGAAGATGAGGATGCACTGGAGTCTTCCATGAAGTACAACTACAAAAAGAAAACAGTACAGCTGTTCCTCATTATTCAGATCTACTCTGCTGGATCATGAATTTTTAGACTAAAGGAGTTTTTATTCCATTAACCTAAATATGAAAAATAGTGACATGTTCTCAACCCATCCAAAAACCCCAACCATTTCCTCAAATTTCACTACAACCCTTACATAATAATAAACTCGGCCAGGCGTGGTGACTCACGCCTGCGATCCCAGCACTTTGGGAGGCCAAGGCAGGCAGATCACCTGAGGTCAGGAGTTCAAGACCAGCCTGACCAACATGGAGAAACTCCATCTCTACTAAAAACACAAAATTAGCTGGGCGTGGTGGTGCACACCTATAGTCCCAGCTACTCGGAAGGCTGAGGCAGGAGAATCACTTGAACCCGGGAGGTAGAAGTTGTGGTGAGCTGAGATTGTGCCATTGCACTCCAGCCTGGGCAACTAGAGTGAAATTCCATCTCAAAAAAAGAGAAAACTTAATAAATACATTAGTAGACATGGTAGTACACAGGATACAAAGACACCATGCAGTACTGGATGCCAGTTACATGCTCCTGATTGCATCAGCCTGAGTTCTATCAAGAGAGACAGCATACAGTGTTTTAGGGGCACATGTTCTCAGGATCTCCTGAAGGCTGTGTCACAGGACGAAAAAGAGAGAGAGAGAGAGAGAGAGAGAGAGAGACGGCACACAGTGTTTTAAACAAGGGAAGTTTAATATAAAGAATTTTAAAAGGACCTGGTGTAGGGGCTCACACATGTAATCCCAACAGTTTGGGAGGCTGAGGCAAGCAGATCACTTGGGGTCAAGAGTTCAAGACCAGCCTGGCCAACGTGGTGAAGCTCCGTCTCTACTAAAAATGCAAATACTGGCCAGGTGTGGTGGTGTGCGTCTGTAGTCCCAGCTACTTGGGAGGCCAAGGTATGAGAACCGCTTGAACCCAGGAGGCAGAGGCTTCAGTAAGCCATGACTGTGCCATTGCCCTCCAGCCTGGGCACTAAAGTGAGACTCTGTCTCAAAAAAAAAAACAAAAACAAAAAACAAAAAAAAAACCTAAGAGTAAATATAAAATGTAAGAGGACACAACCCTAGGGCTGAGAGTTCTCAAGCAAGGACAAACTTGGAAAATGAGCTCTAAGACTGGAGTTTGGATCTCACTGGAGAAGGTATAGCTGCAGACCGTGAGTGCTGGAGAAGTTTGCTAGTTAGGAGTCACTGGGGAAGCAGAGCTGGTCAGCAGTTACTGGTCAAGCAGGAAGCAACTCTCTAGGGTGCAGGTGAGCTGTGGACAGGAGGCAAGGGTGTAGGAGGGAGTGGAGGTGCTGGTGTGGGCAGGAGGCATGGAAAACTGTCCATGTTGGAAGGCTCATGTGTAGGACTTCCATCAGGAGGGTGGGAGAAATTGTAGGAAAAGAACAGAAACCCTGGAAGGCCGGAGGAGAGTCCTGCAAAAGCCTCAGAAGAGGATCTGGCTGAAGGCAGCCAGATTCTCTTATCCAGTGCCTGAAAGCTTAAGTTAGATAATTAAAGGGTGTAAAGAAACTGATCTAGATAAGTTAGTTTACTTATGCCTCGGAACCTGGCCTTTAGCCATCTGTAAGACTGCCTTCTCTGGGGGGCAACCATACAAATTATCCACAAGTATGTTGACTCAAAGCCGTTGCCATTAAATCTATACTGAACGAATACCTGCAGTGCCAGCTGGTGAGGGCTGCGGCTGCTGACTGTTTACAGCACCCTCCCTGGTGTCTGTGAGTGGCCCGGACCCCTAGCCTACGCTTTCACTGGATATCTGTATCTGAGGGCATTTGTTCATCCATTGCTGGGTCAGGGACTGCAGGTTGGACCCGACAGCCATGGTGTTGGGAGGGTCAAGGACACTGGTGTGGGTGAGAGGCCTAAAGTATGCAGTATCTGTATTGAGGGGGCTGCAGGAAGGTGGTCACCAGGCTGGGCTGAGATTGTAAAGTTAATAAATAGGTGAAAATGGTGAATGACTGCACAAACAGAGCAATGAAATTAAATTGAAAGTCCATAAATAGACACAAGCACATATGGAAATATATAATAAAAGTGACATCTCAAAACACTGTAGCAAAGATGAACTTTAAGAAATTGTGCTGGGGGCTGGGTACAGTGGCTCATGCCTGTAATCCTAGCACTTTGAAAGGCCGAGGCAGATCACTTGAGACCAGGAGTTCAAGACCAACCTGGCCAACATGGTGAAACCTTGTCTCTACTAAAAATACAACAATTAGCCTGGTGTGGTGGCACGGGTCTGTAATCCCAGCTACTTGGGAGGCTGAGGCACAAGAACCTCTTGAATGTGGGAGGCAGACGTTACAGTGAGCCAAGATCGCACCACTGCACTTCAGCCTAGATGACAGAGCAAGATTCTGTCAAGAAAAAGAAAGAAAGGGCCGGGCGCGGTGGCTCACGCCTGTAATCCCAGCACTTTGGGAGGCCAAGGCGGGTAGATCAAAAGGTCAAGAGAGCGAGACCATCCTGGTCAACATGGTGAAACCCCATCTCTACTAAAAATACAAAAAATTAGCTGGGCATGGTGGCGCGTGCCTGTAATCCCAGCTACTCAGGAGGCTGAGGCAGGAGAATTGCCTGAACCCAGGAGGCGGAGGTTGCGGTGAGCTGAGATCACGCCACTGTGACGCAAATCCAGATGCGACAACAACAAAAATAGTAAAGTTAAATGC